AGACCTCAGGATGAGCTGTGGTTTATTCCAAGCCCCTCTTCTCACCTTGCACACAGGAATAAAGAGCACAACACAGAGAGGTCCTATGCATGCAGGCAGGAGGCATACAAGAGCAGCGGTGCAGGATGCCAGCAGCTGTCTTCACATGAAACTTCTTTAAACCAAATAATTAAGACAACAAGGACGTTACTCACTTCCACATACCCACTGTCTCACAGCGGGATGGTTACAGCGCACAGACCTTGCGCTCTTCCACCAACTACCCCGTCTCTATACTAGGATATAACTAAGGAAACCTGTAATTACAACATCCACTTTGTTCAGCAAGACTATCCAACTGTTCTTGTTCTGTTTAATTCTGAAATGATTAACATATTCGAAAATAGGATCTAACAATTTCTGTGCGCGCGGCGTATTAAACGTAGATGCCTTTATTACAATCTTCCTTGCCACGTATTTTAAAATAAAATCAATCAATACCATCACAGTAACAGTCTCAGACGACAAATTAACACCATCCAATCAAGATACAGGTAGGATACTCAAAAAAGGCAGTATGAATAGCTGGAAACCTTGGTCCTCCGATTCTTCTGTATAACACATTGATTATAGATTTCTTCCACTTATGATAAAAATTAGCAGACATTAACGTTAACAATTCATACAGCAGATTTCTAAAACGTTCATACTGAGAGTGAACAGCACTGATTTTAGCACAATGTCTTTATGCATGTCTCCCACAGAGTACCAGAGAGTGGGTATTTGAAGGATGTACAGACTAACCCAGGCCCAGAAGATCACGTTTAAGCAAGTTTCCGTCTCTCCTGTGCGATGGCTGCGCAAAGTATTGCGCTTGCAGTCATCAAAATGGCTGACCACATACCCTGAAGAGTTCATTCCCAAAAAAAGGGGTCCAACACAAATAATTCGCAGTAAGTGAAGAAAAGGAATGGTGGGGGGAGTCGACTGGACACGGACACAAAGCACTCGCTGCTCCCATGCATCCTCAGCTGCTAACTTCCCACGTACAGACGGGAGCAGGCATCCCACTGAAGTCAGAGGTCCCTAACTGGTGGATGCTGGAGTGGGGGTTACAGACACCTCTCATGCTGTTAGGACGGTCATGGAAGATTGTCCGTTAGTTATTGACTCCACTATCTGGGCTAAAGTGCTCGCTCTTCTGTAATCAACTGGGACCTAAACTAGTTGAGACTAACCATCTACCTAAAGATCTGCAAGTGGATCCGACAGCCTGCTAAGTCTCCTCCAAGCCCTTAAATAAATAGTGGGCAGCTGTCTATCACGGAGACACTTCCCAGCAGCACCAGAAAGACAGTGGAAACTCGGAAACAGATACAGGTATGATATGCAGGAGGGGAGGAGAGAATAAAAGATTGGACAGGACTGTGCTGAGTCTTTGAATTTTGTGCCGCAAACATTATGCAAAAGCTCTGTGTTAACTCTGAACAAATAAAAATGCATCCAAGTGTTAAGTATGCACACCCTGACGTTTAAAAATACCTGTTCGCCTGTTGTGACTACAAAACGTTAGCTACAGAACATATTTACAGGTAATGTCTGATGTTTGTTCCTGGCAAGAGATGTTAAGCCAAATTCTTCACTGAAGACATAAACCTGACCTAATTTAGATCAGGTCAGGGGGAGTTTAAAGCAGATATCACACGAGCGGCTCCCAGGGACTTGAGGAGAAGCAGCTAGCAGCCCATTGCTACAGAATCCAGGTGCTGCAAGACATGAACTTTTGCAAATTGAGCACATTACTATCATTATCTTCTTTTTTTTCCAACATGGATATGTCACAGATTCTAAGGAAGGTGTGAATGGCTGAACTGATCCATTCTCTGAAGCAGTGGGAAAAGATTACACCTGACAGGTATAAGCTGCTCCAACAAACATATCACTTTCTCTTTTATGGCAAGATCACGGCTTCTTATGCTTTACAGACAAAACCTCGTTTGCAAGGTAGCATTAAATTTTCTAAATTCCAAGCTTTTTTTATTTCAGAGAAAACCATCCATTGCCTTTCTCTCAATTCCCTTGTGAAAGTCTGTTTTTTCTAGTGAAAAAAAAAAAAAAAGTGTTGTCTCACACTTACTAAAAGGGCTTTTCTGTAGCACATGCTTACAACATTTTTCTTTGACAGCAGATTTTGACAGTGCATCCTTACTGCTGCTTAAAAACAATAAATTAAAAGGCCAAGTCTGAGCTTCTGTTTCTTATTGATCCCCAGATCTGAAGAACAGAGGAACCTTGATTTTGCACTGCATTAGTGCAGGGATGGCCACCACACAGCTCTCAATTTGGCCGCATGCAGCTTGCAAGCCAGGCCCCGTTACGTGACTGGCAACGAAGCTAACACTGGTTGAGGAGCTGCTGGGTGACCCCAGCCCTGGCTGTAGGAGGCAGTGAACCAGGAGCCACTTCTAGATCCATCAAAGCTCTGTGCTGGTGCCACAGGATCCCAGAAAGCAAATGTCATTTACAGTATGTGATCTGCTCCTGTATTCCTGCCCAAGCAAAAAGCAGCTTATTTAAAAAGGGGGCAAATTATTAATACTGAGCTATTTCCTAGCATATCTGGAAGTTTGTGTCTCAGGAAAAAAGAAATACGTGCACCAACTTAAAAATACAGTGCTGCAAAGAAAAGGAGTTCATGGTACTTCACAGAATGGTTGAGGTTGGAAGGGACCTCTGGAGATGTCTAGTCTAGATGTCTAGCAGGTTGCTCAGGGCCACATTCTGTCAGGTTTTAAATATCTCCAAGGATGGACACTCCACAACCTCCCTGGGCAACCTGTGCCAGTATTTGATCGCCCTCAGAGCGAATTATATTTTTTTGAATGTTTAAATGGAATTTCCTGTATTTCAACTTGTGCCCATGGCTGTCATCACTTTGTGGACCACCAGCGAGACGAGCCTTGGCTCCTTCACTGCCTCCCATCAGATATTTACACACACTGTTAAGATAGTTCATGTCTTTTTACATGTTGGGTATCAGCCATCAGCTCATCTCTGTTACTGACCGCTAATTTTAGCAACTGTTCACATCAACATTAGTATTGCTAGGAAGTTATGTCATGGCAGTGGTTACTAAAAACCGTGGCAGTAGAGTCACATTTTGTGGGTCATTTCTGGTTTCAGGGTTTTCTCCTTAAAATTCTCAAGTCATATAAATTACTTTTTTTTAAATTTATTTTTAATGCCAAACGCATGAGAGGAAATAAAAAATCATTATTAGTTGTTGAGAGTGAAAGCCTGAAGTTTGCCTCCTACATTTACTGTAAAACGTGTTCATCTCTTAAATTTCATTTGCTTCAGAGATACTGAAAACGAGGGACTTCGGAAATGTATTAATTATGAAATCTTACTCTATGAAAAAAATCTATTAGGTTAAAAATCCACTTTAAGGATAAATTGCTCTTCTACTGGGGAAGCCAATTAATTTATACAATGACAGAAAACCCACAAAAATGGTGGGATAAGTGAAGACTTCAGTGGCCAAAGCAACATGCAAACCAGCTCTTCTGGCGACTCCCAAGCTACGCAAGTGACACTGTCAGTTAGGCAGGTGTGATGAGGACGGTGCAGGGAAGGTATGTGGGAGACACCCAACAGTGAGCTTCCCAAGCATGCTCAGGGAAACAAGAAAAACACAGCCCTTCCTTCTAATGCAACTCTGCTTCTTGTTACTGCAAGCAGAATTGCAATTTTAATCTCCCTAGGCTGTCTGAGACAAATAAAGCTCATCAACTGAATTTGGACCCTCAGTCCCGTACAGAAATCATACGGAAGTACACATGGTCAGTACCTGTCAGCATATCTGTCCTACTGGTACAATACGTGGCTGTGATGTATACAATGCTGAAATGATTAAGAATCCCCCTCTGAAGCCTTATGAAGCAGAACTGTGAAATAAAGACGCATTAATAACAATGCATTTCTGTCATCTGTAATCAGCACAGGCTGCAGAGACTTACATTATAAAGAATTAATTTTATGTGTTTCACTGAATCTGCTAAACATATGTAACTTACTACGCCTTACTAAACTAAAAATATTACTTGTACCACACTGCTTCATTGATAAGCCTGTCAACAGTGCTCACCGTCGTTAAGCGGAAGGGCCCTACGTAGTTTGCAAATGCATCCGCCCCTGAAGAACAAAGCAGGGTAGCCAGCTTTCAGGGTAAGAGCTGCTTTCTCTTTTGTCCTTACAGAATGTTTGTCCTAACTAAACCAGGAATCAAACCTGGCCTCAGAGGTAGAACTACAAACTTCTAATCAGTGCTACTGAAATGAAGATATCCTCTTACTAATGAAGATGTTTCTGGAGCAGCTTTGGGAAGAAAAATCATGTGGGCACCCACAGACATTTTAAGTAAGCAGCCAGCACCTGCGAAACCTGAACCTGTGCAGCTGTTTGTAGACAAGGAGCAGGAGCAGTTATCAGTCACACAAATAACACCTCAAGGTCACTTCAGAGTACTCAAATGCCAACCATCTCCAAAGTATTCCTACACACGACGAGAACCTTGTGTGTAGTTTTAACCCTGCTTAGTTTCATAGCAGCTGAGATACTGAATACCCGGGTAGGTAACCAGATATCTCCAGGAAAAGGGAGCATGGAGCCAGCTCCATTGGCACTAGATGCCATCTTGAAATATATGTTCCAGTCAGTCAAGCACTCCGTCAGCAAATTCACGTCTGAAGTCTTTGGCAAGGCAGGAACACTGTACTCTCTTGCCCTGGGTAATTGCACAGACCAAGTGAATTTGACAGCCATTTTGATACCTGGTAATATGCTTCAATGCACACCAACTGTTTCGTTTTTAAAACTGAGCAAGGCCAGCACATATGTTTGAGAGTGGATATCTGCCTATGCTGGGCACTATTTCATGAAAGTCAGGTTTCTGTCACAGATCTAAGGCAAATATTACAATTTACAGGAAAGAAATGAGGACATCGATACATTGTGCGTTGTTGGAGACATACAGCCTTTATAACACGGTAGCTCTCACTATGATCTCTGGGTTTTCTATGTCCTTTTTGCTTTGGACCATTCTCAGTTCCAGCTGGGCTGAGTTTGGTTTGTTTCCTTCTCCAGCTTGCACTAAAAAGATGACATCAGATGTCATTTAAAACAGCAGTATAAAAACAGTCACATTGCTCTGTTACCCCACTGTGTTTTCAACCCTCCTCCTCCCCTCCTCGATCTCCCCTACCACCCCCAGCTAAAGGTTTCCAAGGTAGAAGATCAGAGGTCAGCACTGTGGTTCCTGAGCACCCCTGTTCTGCACCTCTCCCCGGGAAAGAAACAGCTCTGCTGTTATTAGAAAGTGACACAGGCGTGCTCTGAGATCCCATCTGGGTCTCCTTAGGAACTGAAAGACGTGGGAATTCCAAGGGGAGGGAAGCTGAAAAAAATATTACCCTTCACATGGCCAACATAGCGAGCAGGCAGCTATTATTCGCTGATGAACCCCTCCCAGTACTAAACACACGCACTCAGGGGGAAAGTGAGCCAGCTACGCACGTCAAACCCAGCCTTTCCCCACGTTCCTTCCCACACCACCTTTTCGCAAAGCCGTCAAGGCAGCCAGCACCACGGCAGTCCCACTGCAAGCTGAACAGTGACATCTTCAGTCGGGTGCTGTCAAAAATAGGCTTCGAGGGCACAGCAAGGAACGTGCACTTACAGGCCTGGCAAGCTGTCTTTCTGCCCTTCCTCCGGCTGCTCCCCCACCGAGGGCTGCCTTTAGTCAGGAAACCCGGGAAGCTTTCTGAATGTTTCTTCGGATGCTAACCCAGACAGCACAAGGGAGCAAGGTCTGAATGAATTACCTTTTGCACTCTTAATGGTCCTCTGCAGAACATGTTGCATGGCTGACACAGTCTTTTCACATGCCACCTGCATTAACAGAATACATCCAGGTTTTAGTAAAGTTTCACCTGCCTAGTTTAATATTATTTCAAAAGCACTGCTATTAAGAGGCAAACATGACTGGCAGCACGCAAACAGGATGACAGCTCTGTCATGGAGAGTTTGGGGGGAAAAGAAAAATCTTAAGCCTCCCTCAATTCTCCAGAAACAGGTATTAGAAAACACACCCCTGTATTGAGGACTCCATGTGCTTAGGGGAGAGAAACAGGCAGATAGATCTGGTAAATGAATTTCAGTGCTTATTATGAAATGAGAGTAAAAAATATAATTAGAAACATATATGCAGTCCCTCTCCCAAGCAAACATCTTATTTGGCAAAATTACAAACCCCACGTAATTGAAATGTGACCATCCAAATCTGTACAAGCTAAATTTTTTGGCAAAGAGGAAATTCTGCTTTTTCCTCTGAGATGAGGAAAAAAAGCCAAACCAGAACAGTCTTTAAATAACATCACAGATTAAAAAGTAATTAAAAAAAAGAAACACAGTCTAAACTTGCAGAGAGATGAGTAACTTCTGCACCTTCAAATTGTTTGGATGCTTGTGTGTCCATGCCAAAAGCATTGCAGCAAACAAGTCTCCCGTTCCAACAAAGACGGCATCCACTTTAGGAGACTCCACTCGAATTCTTTGTGTCATCTTCGTACCATCTGCTGTAGCTACAACACATACAGACAGTTAAGTAACCAACCCAGCAATTAATATAATCGCATTTACTATAATTTAAAAGTGATCACCAGATTTTAATTCCTTCATTGTTTGTAATGTGAAGATGCTAAGGAGTGTTGTAAACTTCATACCAGCTCTTTTTAAAAGGAGCAACCTTTCAAAACTTTGCCAAGTTGGAATGGCATTTACAGTTTCACTTAAGAGGGAGCAGGTAGCTAGCACCTTCATTTTCATGAAGGATTGAGAGATTCTCATTTTTACAGCAGAAACTTGCTCAGGAAACTGCGTATTTATGGACACTGCTGAATCCTAGATGGGGCATCCCAAACCACAGAGTATCTCTGGGTTGTATGGAGGCACAAGAACAGCTGTAGGCATCAGCAGAGAACATCTGATCCATGTGCCCTATTGTAATCACCATTGGGATGATCAGGCTTATTCCAGACCTGGCATGTGCATGCACGGAGCGCTATGAACCACCGACTGATTCTCAGTAGAATCTCTTCTAAACATCAAGACCTTTTCAGTCTCTCAGCAGTCCAGAATGTAATTCCCACATTTAGATCCCTCAGATGAACAAGAAAACAAGATCATATACCATCCCACAACACTATTTCCTTCTCAGGTAAAACATGCTGCGACAGCCCAAACACACCGTGAACCCTGGTGATGGGATAGAAGGGGATATAAAGAAGTGGCAGAAGGACATTTTACAACCTATCAGGGGAGGAACAATCTGCAAACAGGACAGTGTAACTTTTCATAAAGGCATTCAAAACATTCAAGTTCCTGTTTTATCCACTGCTAGGGGGTTTAACAGCCCTGATCAACCTCACCTAGGACATCCTCCACCCATGCACCCTCTGCCCACTTGCCCAGGAGCTGCATGGAAGGTCAGGCCCGGGCATAAGCAACCACCCGAGCTATGTTGTAGGTGTAGCTGTGTACAGCCCTGCTGTCCTGACTTACTGATTGGATTTTCCAGGTTAATCTCAGACCTGGCTTGTCTCACCTTTCTCCAACGATTGCTTGACTGTCAATGCAACCTGTTTGCCATCACCACCCCTGTTCTGCTCACCTTATTCAGACACCGTGGGCTTGCGTCCTGTTGGTGAGGGCAGTGCTCTGCCTGTGCTATGACCACGCTCAGCTCCCAGTGTCTTCTCCCACAGAGCAGCCCCGTTCTCACCACACTCTGATATTAAGAGTAGTTCACTTAGGGATCTAAGCTCCTGCCATGCACTACAGATGGGTCTGATGAAACTACTGAAAAACGTAACTGAAAGTAGGTTAAAAGAAAGCACAGTTTAATAAAGGAGTCCATGACTTACTTTTTCTGTGGCTTCCCAGAGCAATCAGGTAGTCATTTCCTAGAGGCGCCTGCAGATCTGAGCTTGTGATCACCACAGTCTCTGGTCCCATGGCATGGAGCATATCCATTACCTTTCCATGTGTAAAAAGGCAGGAATCAGTGACTACAATGGGTGTTGATTAAACCTTGCATCATTCACACTACTGAGGATTTTAGACAAGCATCTTATTTTGGCATCTTTTGTAAAGAGAAAAAAGTTTACACTCAAAGAATTCACTTGAATTAGGCGAGTTAATTTTAAACAGGGGAATCAAAACATCGGTATTTAAATGTACACACCTGTACTAAAAACATACAAGCATCTCTGTATCATCTTCAGATGCTCCTCTGAAAAGAATACTCTGTTTCAGCTGCAGTCAGAATTTTTGCCTGTATGTTTTCAGGACAGACACATGCACTGAGCTGGCATCTTGAAACACTTGCTAGAAAGCCAGTAACTCCAGGTCATGAAGTCTTATTTAGCTACTAATTTAAGAGTTAGCAAAAATAAAAAAGAGCTAAATCAGAGGCATAGTGTGTCTGTCTCAATCTTCTTTCCTCGTTCTGTTTCAAACCCCAAATTACACCTATAAATTATGTACCTTTGCAAGCGTATTTCCAATGTGTGTTCCTCACTTAAAGTCATTAATAGTCTACTTCTGGCACCACAATTGGTTGCTACAGAAGTGATTCTGATTTCACAGAAGAAAGAATTACTTTAGTAATGAGTTTAGCATAAAACACAGATAAAATATTAATTCTCCCAGAAGAGTTTAACTAAAAATCCTCTCAGGCTAGCCATGACTCATGAGCAGCTCAAGGATAAGGATTTATTTCTGCTATTTTTTTAGTTCTCTATTGCTTTTCTTTCTTGTCTAAGCCCCTGAGTTCCTTCAATTGTCAGACTTTTTTGCACAGATATCGGCTGTGTTTTAAAGAAGCAGTAAATCCACCAGTATATGCTGGCATAGTCAACCTGGGAAGTAACATTAAACTCAATTACATTTCTCAGTCACAATTCACCATGAACCTAATCACCAGTATTTCTAGTTGTAGGATTTCTACACTAATATTATGCCATTTTTAATTTTATGTTAGAATACTATACCGTCATCACTAGTCTTGCTAAAGAAATGAATGAAAGCATGTGATCATGGAAATCGATGTCACAATTTCTACCACCTCCAAAGGGGACAAATTCCAGCATGGATTATTACTCAGAAGGACAGACCTATATATGACATGCAGCTGGGGAGGCAGACTGATTAAAATAAAATATCCTGCAAGCAACTACTGTAAAAATGTTTCCATTAGTAAGAATAATTCCACCTCTTCAGAAGAGATTTTCTAAAGCCTATCACAAATAAGGACTACCACATGGATCAGACAGACTGTCAGAAAACTAACCTGTAAAATTGTTTAGCACATGCAACTCGTGTTTGCCACTGAAATAACGCAAACCTAAAACTGATGGCTGCTCAGCTAACAGTGTTGCACTCAAGACTGTGGTTCCACTGGTGAGGATAGAAGATCTGAATTGCAGTTAGCAGCTAGTGGCATAAAGTGCATCACACTCGCCCAGCAGAGTGGGGTAATGTAAAACTGGGGGTGGGAAAAAAAAAAATTTAAATAGCTGAGACATTTGGAACTGCTTCCTGCTGTGAAGAGATGGTAATCGACCCATGTTGTGTGACGTTGATGGAGGGAAAAAAAGCAACAAACATTTGGGCTGATAGACCCCAGCTACTCTTCAGGGTGCCACTGCAGCTGCTGTTTGTTTAAAGATTTTGTGTTCCTTTGAAGTTCAAAACCAAACTGTTCAAAACAGTTCAAAAAATAACATCGGCCCCTTATGAAAGCACTCAACTAGTCAACAAAACAATGACCTCAGCCCTTTTCAAGACACCAACATTCCTATTTTGTCCCTCATCAAGCCCTGCGGCTTTTTATTTTCTTCAGCTTGAGTAGAAGGGAGAATCCTTACACCTCAGTGGCAGCATATCTGCAGACCACCTATCATTTCTGTATGGCGATTACAGCAGCTATCAAGACTCTGGATTTGTCTGTCTTTCACCAGGAAGTACCTGAAGGTCATCACTCCCAGTTTCTCATCTATGCAATCTATCCTTTTGCAACACAGGTCTCATCCACTTTGAATCCATTTAAGGAAAAGAAACAGAGCGCCAGAAAGCGCTGTCAGGAAGAGATTCAGAGCGTATCCAATCAATCCTTGTAGGAGTTGCTAGCAAGCTCTCTTCCTTGCAGACAGCCGGGAAGAAGGAGAAAAGGGTGCCTAGCTCCGCATTGTTGCTGCACAACTCGCATGTGGACAGCAGAGGGAGCGACTCACGCAGGTTTCTGATACCCACGGTCACCGGGGTCTTCCACGCCAACCCGTGCAACGCTGCCGCGCTGATCCTGCCTGGGTGCTTGCTATCTGTGCTGCTGCTTCCCTTCGTACACTGCAGGGAAACACACTCGGAGATCTACTCATCACCACTGTAATGCCTTTATCGGCAGTCCTTTTGGGCAGTTTCTCTGCAGTCTGATACTAGCACGGAAAAGTGCTCTGCACCTGGAGTGCACCAGCTTTAAAGTGACGTGGAGAGAAAGGACAGAGGCCAAAGTGGCTCCAGGGTCAAAGACAAACGGCAAACTGCAGCACTGCAGGCTGGAATACAGAAAGATATCTTGCACCTTCTACCCCTTGCCTACTTACCTCTAAAGCTTCTTTTTCTGTGTGAATCTTCCTGCCCGTGAGTAACCTGAGAATGAAACAGAAATCTTAAAATAGCTCAAGTTCTCCAGGCCATGACTGCTTTGTTTACTCTTTGAAAGGAGAAAAGCTTGGGCCACACCATACAGGCCAAAACGGTTTGTAGCTATGTGGTCTGCCATACCAGGCCACCGTCTTTGTAAGTTACATGTAGAGATACGCAGTGTTTCTGGTGCAGACTCACATCAGTCCCCACCTGTAGAGACCCTGCACTGTAAAATTCCCTCACAAGTGTCTTCTCTCCATCTCCCTCCCAGGTAACTGCTCCCTCCCCTTAGGGGGACAGCCTGTGATGTACACAACAGATCATCTCCTGGCCAAAGAGTCACAGTTATGAAGCCAGGATGGGCAGGAGACATTTAAATTCTTAACTCTTATGAGATGTTGCTATGGTGTTATTTCTGAACCTAATTTTTGGGGGTTGAGTCAAACTATTTCAGTTTTGATATTCTGCCATATAATAATTTTCATAGGAATGGGTAAGGACGGAGAAGGGAAGAAGGTATTTTTTCAACCTGTTCTAGATACAGCTCTCTGGAGACAAGAAGAGGTACTCATGAACATGAGAGACCAAAGAAAACATGAGAAATTATTTCCTCAAATAACTCCCAGATTTGTTATTGGTTTCAATCTGGAAGAGTTGGAGGTTTGTTGATAAGCACCACTTGAAAATAACAGCTAAAAACCAAAACCCAACACATACATACGGCACTGTATTGAAACAAATAAAAGAATGGGTATCAGTCTCCTCTGCTTTTATTCCCAAATTTATTTGGATATAAAAGGAAATAAGTACTTACTCAGCTTCAAACTGGTTAGGAGTAATTATATCAGCAACAGGTACAACTTTGTCCCTGTAGACTGGAAGGAGATCCTTGGGCACATACTAGGGGAGAAAAAACAGCATCAAATGTTGTCAGTAGCATCTGAGATGTGGGACTGCAACTCTTCTTCCCTCAACTACCATCCATGCCTCACTGAATAAGCTGATGGGCCCCAGTGTGCGGTTACATGGCAGTAACTGAAGTGACACGGCATCCTCTGGCTGGTGACATTACAGCCCACAGCCCTTCCTTCACCGGAGGTGATAGGAAACACCATTAAGCAGATAGGCCTACACCAGCAGCATTAAAAGTGGTGTCTGGATGAAGAACTTTTGGGTTCCCTCTCACCAAGGTGACACAGCAACATGAGGAAATACAGTGTCCCAACACAGGGATCCCTTTCTCATGCCTTCACCTCCAAAAGAAACTACTTTGCTGTTGCACCGACAGCACAGAGGTCCTTTGCTGCGGCAGCGTGTGCCCACGTTGATTGTGTTGCATTGTGGGGCTTAGGAACGAGTAACATCCATGCTATGTGTTATTTTGTCTCCTCCTTTCAGTTCTAGGGTGTGCTGTGTATTAACATGCATGAACAGGAATCAGAACTGTGATTTGTTCAGTACAGCTTCATCTAGAAAGCAGTTCCAGTAAGGACATGAAAAACACTTTGCCTGTGTTGCACCCAAGTGTAACAAACGGCTGGCATACCTTGCTGCCTGCAATCAGCTCTACAAATAACGAGGGTCAGTGCTTCCCTTTCTGCCTTCCCATTCCACCTCCATCCCACCTTCATCAGCTAAACACAGCCTACCAGCAAAGAGACTGGTTGTCTAAGCAGGTGATGTACACCAAGATGTAGCAGGAGCCCACCAGCCTGCATGCTCTTTGGACCCAAAGCTGAAAAGCATCAGCTGTTTTAGCACACGGGACCTCAGGTAGCAGTTTGGGTTAGATGGGAACAGGGGTCACCTCCCCTTCCCCAGTCTTGCTGTAACTCAATTTAACAAAACCTTTAATAAAAGGAGTTCATTGTTTACTGATATTCTTTGGCAGAACCACATTTGCTAAATCAGGACTAACACCCCCTTTTGGGCGTTTCTCAGGGGTCAGTGTTGGGACCTGTACTGTTTAACATCTTCGTTCAGAGGGCTGGAGCACCTCTGCTATGATGAAAGGCTGAGAGAGTTGGGCTTGTTCAGCCTGCAGAAGAGAAGGCTCCAGGGAGCCCTTCCGGCCCCTTCCAGTACCTGAAGGGGCTACAAGGAAGCTGAGGGGGGACTTTTTACAAGGGCCTGTAGTGACAGGACAAGGGGGAACGGGTTTAAATTGAAAGTGGGGAGGTTTAGATTAGGTATCAGGAAGAAGTTCTTCATGGAGAGGGTGGTGAGGCACTGGAACAGGTTGCCCAGAGAGGCTGTGGATGCTCCATCCCTGGAAGTGTTCAAGGCCAGGCTGGATGAGGCTTTGAGCAACCTGGTCTAGTGGAAGGTGTCCCTGCCCATGGCAGGGGGGTTGGAACTAAATGATCTTTAAGGTCCCTTCCAACCCAAACCGTTCTGTGATTCTGTTTTATTTCTCCGTCAGACTCATAAACTACCCAGGGCTGGGTGCATGCATACATGTGTTACTGTCTCCCATTCCAACTTTAGCAACAAGAGATACAACCCCTCCCAAGTGTTGAGTGCTAGGTGCTACCAGAACATCCACCACACTGAGCCCGAGCTCACTCACGCTGACGCGATGGTGTCACAGCGACTCTGCCTTGAGACAGGAATGCAAGACTAGGTCACGTCCAAACCAAGGTGTTCTAATTCATGATTTTACTACTTTTTTTTTATGGCAGGAATGAGTTGGTGGGTTGTGTGTTAAATTTTCTCTTCTTCCATCTACCCTGCTTTTCACCCAAAAGACACAGGTAGTCCCACGGTTATGACTTCTTCCAAGAGCTAAGGCTTTGCAAGGTGACTCTACAGCTATTAGATCCCTGCCTTGTTAGAAAAGGCCAAGGACAATAAATATTGCAATAGACATAAAATGAAAGAATAGAACACAAAAGCAATGGCAAATTTATTACTAAGTGCTGTTTATTACATGTGCTGTTTTATGAGCAGGTAAACTGTAAAAAGGTACAAGGACAAAGAGGAATTCATAGTGCATGACAAGTTAAGGCAGAAGAAACATAAAATATCATTATTGCTGTTGTCTTCCTGCCTTGCATTTTTACTGAAATTATTTGCTAGTTTTGGTGAGAAATGAATGTTTCTTTGTCAGTGTGCAGCCTGGTATTGGCACACAGACCCTTTCTGTCACTGATCACAGCCCAGTGCCTAACAGCTGTTGGATCTCACACGAAACAAGTCAGCTTCATTTAGGTTCAAGTGGTATGTCAATTCACACCACCACTGACAATGCCAGCCAGGCTGCCAGCCAAAACAGGGCTCTTGACAGAAGATGAGGGAACTCCCGTGACCCAAGGAGGGGGAGAGGGGGATATTTTCCTGTGGACAGGGTCTGTACTCCACATGTTGATTCAGCAGAGAGTTAGTAATAATCCCAGGGCCATGCAGCCATCATTCTTCCCAGATACTAAACTCATTCAAACACAGGAAATTAAAGTACAAACCTAATTGATGCAGGGATCCAAAGACACAGGTAAAGTAGCTTAGTTTTGGTGTTTAAAAACTAAGAAATCTTCATATAGCAAATATTCACTACACAGAGTGCAGGCAAGTACTAACCATAGAGCCTTCTCCGTTCCATTTGTCACCCATCACTGGATCGCATACTGTAACAGAAGAAATCTAGCTTTAGAAACAGGGGACAGTCACAGAGACCCTGATGGGAGGGAAAAGTTTTAGGTAACGGTAGTGGCTATGTAACAGCACTGAGCACCTTACAGATCTTACACTCGTTCAGCTCTTGCAGTACAACCTGAAATTTGTAACTGCTGGCTGCCAATTCTGAAAGAGTAGGCCATGCATCTATTGTTAATTGTCAGCTGTCAGAGGGTTGCAGTCACCCTCTCCTACCTGCTTCCGTGTTGTTATGTCTGAAGGCAATGAGGATGAGAAGTTCTGACTGCTGGGATTGAACAGGCTTTTATATGGAAAAGGCAGAGAGCCCTCCCCTTCACTCTCCAGCCCAAAACTCTGGAATAATAGTGTGGTGGGGGAAGAAACATGGGAGAAGCTAATAGCTGTGAGCAGAGTCCTACTTTTACTTTAGCACAAAAAGATACATGCCGAACATACACACCAAAATGCTATGTGGACACTTAAAAAAAAATGTGTGGATTATAATGAAACAAGAAGAAAATCCATGCCCAAGTACATAAACTCATACTGGGTGTAATAATATTAACACACATTTGGCACAAGTTCTGAATCATCAGCAGTATTAACAACGTATTCCAAGTGCCCTCAGTTTCAAAGTGAGGATGGAAACAATCTAGCCTTGTACTTTGAAAAGGAACATTGTTCATTGTATTAAAAGAACTTTTAGCAAGATAAAAAAGAAATGCAAATCCAAAGGCATCAAATCAATGTCCAGTCAGTATTTTAAGAAGTTCCTATGAGTAAGAAGATGTGTTTTGTTTGATACATTTTGTAAAACAAATGTATTTTGTTTTACATTACATTTTCCCTATAATCTATTTATTAAATATAAGGGATCTTAGAAGCCTAGCTGTGTTCCCCCCATCTGACCACTTCCTTCCTGTTCTATACAGTTAGATGTTTCTTGCTGCTCATACAAGAGCTTTTAGCTTTCACTTACTAGTAACAAGGCTCTGGAGAACCTGACAATGCAACAGTGTTAACGAAAGCTAAAAAGCAACAAAACCTGAGCTGATGAACACACCTCTGCTGCATTTTTCTGATTTTTATTACTACACCCGCAGCGTTACACCTTGCAAACCCTGAGAACCATGCTAGACGTTTCTTGACTACACGGTTTGCTGAACCTGAAGATGAGAGGCTCAAACCGTCATTCACAGCTTTTTGTCCCGCTAACTGACTTTGCCCTGTTACTCTGAATGTTTTGCTCAGTTCAAGCCTACGCTGGTTATGTTCAAAAGTCCTGAAACACTCAGTGTCAGGAAGCAAAGAGGAGAACCTGTCCTCACAGGTTTCAGCCTGACATGAGTCGTTAATGACAGCAGTGGCTAGATTCTCTGGCTCTTGGAGTGCTCCCAGGTTATTTTAGCAGAGGGCACCAGAGCGGTGCTGCCGCCTTCTTAGTGTTTCTTCCTTACCCTTGGAGTTTAAGCTAAACTATGAAGCTCGTAAAGCACAGTACGACACTTCTTCTGAGATGTAACGTGAACCTATGGCAGGGCAATATGGGAGAGTCTATCCTGCTCTTGGCTGACTTGGAAATCAAGGAGAGGCCTCAGCTATCAGCACTTCAAGCCTGTGCCTCTGAAGTACAAACAGCAGCAGCCGGCTGGGGTTTTAAGAGCCTTTTTTTGAACCAGACAATCAATCCTCAATGCACATTTTGCTTTGGATAGCATAACGCAAGAAACATACTGAAGGGCATAAAATCAGAAAGATAAACCCAACACCCTCAAGAGAGAAGCAATGCTGAAATGAAACTTCACTGGAGCCTCAGCTAGTCCCAACCAGATCAGAGCCCAGACGGTCCTGAAATGCTGGGTAAGATCAGACCAGTGTTTTCATCCTAAAATGTGAAAGTGATGGGTGCACACAGTGATGAAGTAGAAAGGATTATAATCCACATCCTTACCATATACTAGGTCAGAATTCTGCTGCTTCAACTCCTGGACAATATCCACCACCATTGCAAGAAACGATGTGTCTCTTGTATACCCTGTGAGGGAAAAAAAAAAAGACACTCTGGAAGTCTGTTTTCACAAATGCTTTTTTTTCTGCATACTTCTCGTTCCTTGGGATGCATTTTTAGAACAAAGGCATTTTCATATTTCATTCAGGAATAATAGGTGGAAGACAAATTCAGACAGTGTTTGCACAACTACAAATGCAACCTTAAAAATCCATTTACTAAGTATGCTATATATGAAGGGCTCATACAATTTCAAAATGCTTGGACACATATACAAAAAGGTCAGGCTGAAGGGAAAAAAACATTCCTTTTCTTCCAAACAGCAGCCCAAATCAGTACTATTTATCATGTAGTAAATAAGGAATACTTTAAATTCCATACACTATTCTCGTACTCTGGTTTTAAGCATGTTTTAGTAATTATTAATGTTTGTGCTGAAACAGTCCAACAAATTAATCCCATGGAGAATTAATATTTACATTTTAGGGCAATGGCCAATATACCAATCAAATTCCTATTTTTAGGCTTAGCAATGAAATAAGCTGGAAATAAGTTTTATTATATCTCAAGGCTCTAATCACAATGCTAGCACCACAACATTCTCATTTAATCATTGATTTCTTAATTTTCTAGATGCTTTTATATATATATATAT